CTTCAGGTGTCCAAACAACATTCTATACATTCAAGGAGGTACAGGAAAAACTAACCACAATAAGTATAAACAGAAAAGATATTTTAAAAGCTATCCAAACTTCTTGGGGTAAAAAGGACAGTGTCTGAAATACACTGGACAGGGGTAATGAATTAGAAGATACAGAAGAAAAGATCCGTGAATTTGAGGACACAGTAATAGAAACTATCCAAAATGAAACACAGGAAAAAAGACTAAAACAAACAATAGAGCATCACTGTACTGTGGGACTACCTCAAATGATCTAAAATATATGCAGCTGAAGTCCCAAAAACAATTTTGAAAGTAACCAGAGGAGAAGCTACTTCTGATATAGAGAGTAACAAAGTTTAAAAAAGGCATTTCACTTTTCATTGGAAAGAATGCAAGTCAGAAGACAATGAAACAAAACCTTTAAAATACTAACAGAAAGGGTGGTTATCTTAGAATTCTATATCCAGCAAAAATAAAAACATCTTCCGAAAATGAAAGTGAAATGTACACTTTTACAGACTCACAAAAGCTGTGAGAATTCATTACCAAGCAACCTGCACTATGACGAATATAAAAGAAAGGAAGTTCTTCAGACAGAAATATAATTATACCAGATGAAAATCTGTATTACACAAACAAATGAAGAGTACTGAATTAGTAAATACATGGACACGTATAAAATACAACTTTTCTCCCCCCCCCCCCAAGACAGTCTCACTATGTCACCCTCAGTAGAGTGCTGTGGTGTCACAGTTCACAGCAACCTCAAACTCTTGGGCTCAAGGGATTCTCTTGCCTCAGCCTCCCAAGTATCTGGGACTATAGGTGCCTACTACACACCTGGCTATTTTTGTTGTTGTTGTAGTTGTCATTGTTGTTTGGCAAGCCCAGGCCAGGTTCAAACCCGCCAGCCTGGTGCATGTGACTGGTACCTTAGCCACTGAGCTACAGGCGCATAGTCAAAATACAACTTTTCTTACCACTTAAATGTCTTTTAAAGATAAATAACTAAAGCAAAAATAGTAACATATTTTGGGGTTTATAACATGAGGATGTAAAATCTATGATAATAGCACAAAGTCTGAGATGAGGGATGTGAAAATATACTGTTGTTAGGTTCTTAGACTATAAAATAGTACAATATTATTTACATAAGGAGACTACGACAAGTTAAAAATATATACCATAAACTCTAAAGCAGCCATTGAAAAATGGATATAACAAACAGGCAGAACAAATAGAAAATAAACAGCAAAATGACAGATTTGAATTCAACTATATCAGTAATCTGCTGAAATGCAAATGGCTCAACATCCTAATTAAAAAGCAAACATCATCAGATTAGATTAAAATGCAAGACTCAACTATACGCTGCCTATGAGAAATCCATTTTAAATATAAAGACACCACAGGTTAGTAAAAGGCTATGTTATGGTAACACTAGTCAAAATAAAGCAATATTAATGTCAGACAGTATAAATTTCAGAATGAGGAATATTACTACTGATAAACAGGGTAGGTCACTTTATAATGATAAAAGGGCCAATTCTTCAAAATGACATAATAATTCTAAATGTGCTTAGAGGATACATCTCAAAAAATCCTGAAGTAAAAAAATGCCCACAATTGTTGGAGATTTTCACACCCCTTTTTCACTAATTGACAGAGAAAGTAGATAAGATACAAATGATCTGAACAATACAAATGATCTGAACAATACAAATGATCTGAACAATACTATCAGCCAACTTGATCTAACTGACATTTCTACAACACCCCATACAAAGATGTGTACATTCTATGTGTTCAAGGAACATTTACCAAGTTAGAGCATATTTTGGAATATAAAATAAGTCTCAATAAATTTAAAATACTTGTAACTATACAAAGTATGTTTGACCATAATAAGAATTAAATTAGAAATCATTAATAGAGAGACATCTCAGAAATCCCCAAATATATGGAAACTAAATGACACGCTTCTAACAATTAATGAAAAATTCTGCCTATTTGAAGAAACAACATGTTTCTTTTTCTTAGGTTATGACTATTATGTAAGCTACAAGGTTTTTGTCTGGGCTGCCAAACAAGTTTAGGGCTAAACAAAAAGTTTAATCACAATAATCACACCTACTCTCAAATCGTTTACCTCAGCTTAAGTATCTAGTATGTGATTTTATAGAATCTAAGGATACAAGACAGTCCTTGCTCTAAAGACCGGTTTAAAGTCAGGTCTAGTGAACACTATTACTTGTAAACCCCAACTGTTTTCATTAACCAAAAGTCTACTTTAACAGCCATTTTGTTAATGTACCTTTTTCCTAATTGCCTTTAATCCCGTGTAGAAAGAGCTGTTGGCTCCCTGCCATACCCAGCTAGGTACTCAAGCACAAGAATATTAGCTTACAGTAAACATAATTTGAAATATGTGAAATTGTGAATAATTAATAAAATACTTGTAAGGCCAAATAATGCTAGGGTTTTGGATGATACACATATCAGTGTTCTCCTGTCACAAATAACCTACAGTTGACTATCTTAAAATATATATATCACCAGCAGCAATCTAAGATTTTTGACATTTCCTATCTGACTCAACAGGTAGGAAAATAGTGCTCAAGCTGGTGGAGGTATTCTCTTAGCGCAAAGGGAGTTCACGAAGCATAGAAAAGATAACGCAATGCCGCCAAGGTAGTGCAGAAGGGCTGCACTTGGTGTACTAAGTAGTACGACAGAGCTGCATTTGGTGAGCACCAAGGTGGTACAACAGAGCTACATTCTGCAAGCCCCAAGAAGTACAAAAGAGCTGCTATATAACACAACTGTACCTGGTAAGGTAAGAGAAAGACTGGGATAGAATCTTGCCTCTACAGTGTCTACCTTGCAAACCATTGGGGCCTCAGTTTCTTCCTCTATAAAATGTAAGGGTTGCAACAGATGACCTCTAAGGTCTCTTCCAGTTCTACAATTCTGAAGAGCTAGTTTGGTTGGAGTATCAAAGAAAACATCCCCAAAGGAGCTCTGTTGTACGTCCTCACCACAAGCCATTTAAGTTATTAAAACTAGACTTGATAATGCCACATAACACATTCTAGGTGCTGTACTAGGTATGATATGGAAGAACTCTAGACTGACTAGCATTCAGAAGATCTAGGCCTTAGTTTGATTTTACCTTTCTAAAAGGTATAACTGATTATAATTGCTGTTATTCTGTTTCCTAGATAAGAAAAAGATGCAGAAATATATACCATTGAAAGAAAAATTTATCACTGTGAATAGCTAAGAAGGCATGTTGGAGGTGAACCTTGAAAAGATAGATAGAAATCAGGGAGTTTAGAAATAGCAGTATAAAGGCTTTGGAGTTATATCGACTTCATTTTAAATCCTGGCTCTGCCTTTTACAATGGTGTAAAATTGGATAATTTAGCTAAGTCTCAGTTTCCTAAAATCTAAAACAGATAGGGTTACTTTGTAGTTTTAAGGAATAAAAGTAATAGTTATATAACATCTAGTGTAATATCTGGTTTATAGTAGTCACTCAAAAAATAAAAGCTTTCATTACTAAAGTCCCAGAGACTGATGATGTTTAGCCCTGAGCTTCTTTGGCAGTCCCAGAGACTGAAGATGGGTCCTAACAGTCTGGTAAAGCAGAGGCCAAGCCTGTAATGGTAGGTGGGGGCCGAAATGTGGAGGGACTGACAAATTTGTGGGTTTAGGGGCCTCAGTTAGGAGGGAGCAGAGCAGGCCCGACTACTCTGTTAGCTAATAGCTCAGCAGTATTAGAAACAAAGTTCTGTGGGGTTAGGACTGGAGGCAGTGAAGGATGCAGTCAATTCAAACAAAGCCCATGAGGGAAATCTGAGATTAAAGATGATGGGAAGATCAAGCACCAGCAGCCAGTGGCAGAGATTAAATCCAAACAGGCATAGCAGGACTGGGATCATGCAGCTTGGCAGAGATGAGGAATGATTATGAACAGGACTGGAGCAAATGAGGAACACCTTAGGCAACTATCTAGAACAGTGGTTCTCAACCTTCCTAATGCTGCAGCCCTTTAATACAGTTCCTGGGGGTCACGACCCACAGGTTGAGAACCCGCTGGTCTAGAACATCCTGAGTTACATGCAGCATGACTCTACTGGCAGGTGTGCCGCTCACGTAGTTCAAGACACCTTAAGGAGTCAGGGGCGAGGCAGACATCTTAGGCTTTATGTTGGACATAACTGAGGATGAGTGTGGGCAAGACAGTTACATGGTCAGATATGATTCTACTTCTCAAAAGGCACATGGGGAAAAAGAAGATTGAAAGCACAGTGAGGAAGTTATTTCAAAAGTCCAGCTGTGGGTAATGTGAGTGTGACCCAAGGCCACAGCAATGGGGATGAGAATAGAAAGAGACAAACTGATACATTTCAGGGAAAATTTCCAACAAGATATGGCAATTCACAGGATATGGAATGTACAGGGGGGAAAGAAACGCATGACTACAAAGGTTTTGAGCTGCATGACCAGGTAGTCAGTGATGCCACTTAGCAGGGTACATAGAAAGAAGCACTCTCTTCTTAGTGAGAAGAATTACAATGCCAGGAGCTTACAAATGACCATTTCAAGGCATTCTTAAAATATTTTCAGATATCTGAATGTCACTACAGAGCCATAGCTTCACCTACCTACCACCCAAACCTTCTAAGGGTGTCCAGCCTTTTTTCTGCCACCCATTAGAAGAGTAACAGCTGTCTTAGACCATACATTAAATACACTAACACAAGACAATAAGCAAAAGAAAAAGTCCGCGCATACTTTTCACGATATCCAACACCACAGATAAGCAAAACAGTCCTCAACTAATCCACATGTAGCCCCCAGGCACAGGCTGAGCACCCCGGCAAGCATTTCATCTCCTCTTTGATGAGACCTGTGACTCAAGCTAACCAAGGAAAGAAACGTGGTGAGCATCAAGAATTACATAAAATATACCCAGTGCTTACCTTTACAGCTAATATTTTCCCACTCGGGACATGATGGGCTCTATGGGAAGAGAAAAATAAAATCACTTGGGATCACTAAACAATCTACAAAATGGTTAAGGACAAAAACATAACCTAAACATTTCTGCAGCAGTGGGATACATGATAGTTTTGAAGAACACTCGTAATACTTGTTACTTATATTTCTATGGAGCTTAATGATTTGCAAAAGGATTCATTATATAATATCTTAAAATACCTCTGAGGTAATGATAAGACATTAATATTCTCCTTTTTTTACAGGAGGACTCTGAAGCACAGAGAAGTTGAGCAGTTTGCCCAATGGCACAGCATGAGTAGTAGTAGAATGAGATTTCAAACACAGGTCTTCTGGCTCCAGATCCCTTATGACTGCCATTGTAGGGGGGGCCCTCTGTAGTCCCTGCTAAACACTGTACAGAGCCATATAAAATAGGTTTTACTTGTGTTCCTTTCAATTACATACACAGATAAAATGTATTGCTACGTTTCACCAATATAATCTTAAAACACACAGAATTAGCTAAGGCTTATAAAAATTTCATATGAAAAATCTGAGTTAAAAGGCTCAAGCATGTGGTTCAACTTTTCCTAAAAAAGAGAGGCAAGATCAAAGTATCAGATATACTGAAATAACTACAACTTGTAAGAATCAAGAAATATAAATGCATTCATTTACATAGAAGTATGAGAACAGGTTTACAGAAAGAAAATACTATTACTTTTCATTAAGACCTTTCACGTTTAAATGAAATGTGGCTTTTATATATACACTGCAGGGATTGGATATTCTGAACATCATCTAGAAATCATCCACCTCTTATGAAAACCTCAAAACCAACCACATGACATAAACAAGCATTGTTACTGCAAGCCCATGAAAATACACTGAAACAAAGTATTTTGGAAGAACTAAAATCTTGTTCTGCAGAGGAATTCAAACATTAGCCAAGATCAGACTACTCTTCTTCTCACTGGCTACTGGTAAGATGTAAATGAGATAAGGAAGATGTGGGGAGATACAAGAAATTAGTGTCTCAGGAATCACCTCATCCTCACCTCCCCAGCTGCAAAATATATTTATTTAATAGGCCCCCAAACTGATCACTTCTTAAACCAAATAAAATTTATATATTCCACTATTGCCAAAATAGAAACATCATTTTCTACTGTTTCTGTAGAAATATGCACATTTGCTTATTTGCTTTGACAAACTTTAACAACTTTATTGGGACATAATTTACATATGACAAAACTTTACTTGTTTTAAGGGTATAATACAATAATTTTGTACAACTCCGTACATTTACAGAGTTGAACAATCACTGGAAAACATTTTGAAAGTGATTGACTTATATTATTAAAATGATCTATTTCTTAAGAGTCTATAGGTATTTGTAATATTTCCACATAAAATGTTATAAATTCAGGCAAGACTAGGAAAACACATACATACAATGTATGTGCATATTTATCCAAATATATGGGTGGTGTAAGAATCTATTCATTCTGCTTTTACTACTTGAATAGACAGGTCAGCCCAAACATGGAAGGTATAAAAACACAGCTATTACATTAATTGATGCATTATCTCATTTAAAGGCAAAATTATAAAACTTAGGTGACAATTGTTCACTTTGCCAAGGAATTCTTTGCCCCAGGAAAGTATCTAAAGACTCTGCCTAAATAACAACCTCCCTAGTATATCTATTACTTATAAAAGTTTAACCAATTAAAACTTTATACTTGATATAAAGTAATACACATTTTAATAGTGGAACCCTCACATTTACACAGGTTTTAGAACATATTATCACTTACTCTATTGTCTATTTTAACATCACCCTTTCTTTTTTAGAGACAGAGTCTCACTCTATCGCCCTCGGCAGACTGCCGTGGCATCACAGCTCACAGCAATCTTCATCTCCTGGGCTTAGGCGATTCTCTTGCCTCAGGCTCCCGAGTAGCTGGGACTATAGGCACCCACCACAATGCCCAGCTATTTTCTTGTTGCAGTTTGGCCGGGGCCGGGTTTGAACCCACCACCCTCGGTATATGGGGCCGGCATCACATCTTCCTTACCCCATTTACTCACTGAGCCACAGGCACCGCCCAACATCACCCTTTTACAATGAACATCTAAACTAAAGGTCATCTGATTCAAGATAAATCCCAACTCATGTAATACACTGATTTTTGTTAGTGCCTATCACAGAAGTTGTCCTAAGCTAATCTGAAATGTGATTTGAAGGAATTTAGTAACTATATTACATGTAAGTACAGGTAATAAAATATATAAGATTTATTAATAATATGTTATTTTCCCTCTTCCATATCACAGATTTCTTTTCCAATTTCAACTTTTTAAAATATTGTATATTAGAATCACTAACCAAGGACTTAAATAGTCAGACAAATAGTTGAATCCATATATGAGAATTCAAAAATTACAAAACGATCAGTGTTATTACTTTGAACAAGCAACACCTGGACTTTTGAGAGCAACAACAGCGATAAGAAAATGATTAGCAGATAATCTAACATACATTCCATACTGGACAGTTTGGCAACTTAATTAGCTTGTCAAGAAAGCCGATCTCTTTTCCAAAAGAAAGGTCTCTTATTTCTAAGTGGAATTAAAAGGGGAGGCTTGATAATTTAATTATGATGCACGCCAATTCATCCATGGAAGTTTGGGTTCGATTTCGAGCAATGAAAAGTCTACGTGGTTTGGTTTACAGGGCAATGACAGCACCAGTTTAACATTTAATCATCAAGGAGAAGCAGATGACAAAGGCATCACCAGGCATGAGTTGAGTGTGTCCCTTAACTCTGCAAATGGTATGCTACCTGGAGAAAAGGAACTTGTTTACTTTCAACAGATACTGCATCTCAATTGTCTTGACCTTCCTCCACACATTAACTGTAAAGTGATTAATGAAGTTTGAATGGAGGCTCTGGTTACACCAAAAGACAACTATACACTTCTGCAATGTTTTAATTAACAGTTAACACTTCAAATTAGTTTGCTGTTGCCACAGTAATTACCTGTTCCAGTGACTGCATGGAGGAAGCATGTGTATGAGATATTTCTAGTGTTTAGTCCTTGAGTGTTCCGTTTAGTTTGTGATCAGGAAAAGCCTTCTGGGAATAGTCCCAGCCTTCAAAATTGAGCACACAATATATACAATTGAAGATGGCAAAAGCTAGTGGCCTGGTATAATTTTTTTTTATATTTAAAATAACAAAGAGCCCAGCATAGAAGATTACTTGCTATCAATACTTTCTTTTTTCATTTGGAACAATAGATTCTAGATGCACGGACAAAGAAGTTGGTATCAACCTTTAATCTTAGTAAGAGAACAGAATCAGAGAATTCATTGACCTAGTAAGAAATAAAGAAAATTGTCTATTCTAATCCCTTTTACAGGAGAAACACCCAAAAGCCAGGTTAAATAACTTGTGCAAACTCACACAGCCAGTGCCAAAGCCAAGACTAGAACTATGGTAGAATATACATATTTTAGGACCTAACAGAAATATGTAATTGAATTTTTCTTAGCTATATTCTAGAGCAGAGAAACCCATAATTCAAAACTTAATATAGGTACTGACCTATTTCAATCAGGCTAAGGAACATCACATCTGAATCTCTCCTGGCTAACAAGCATTTTGCAATCATTGCCAATCTATCCTGGGAGGCAGAAGAGCCAAGGGTTATGGGCTCTTAAGTCACTGCCTGGGCTCTGATCCCAGCTCTGCCACTTCCCAGCATGTGAACCTGTTAGTAAACCTCACTCTGTCTCAATTGTCTCAACTCTGGAATAGGGAAAGGAGTGCCTATCTTATAGAGATATGAGGATCAAAAGAGATAACTCTGAGGAAAGAACCTGGCACTCAGAAAACACGAATTAAATGTCAGAAAGCTAAGCAGCTTTCAGAGTGGCTGAGCATTTTAAGAGTAAAACTTGCAAAAACAGACTGAAAGAACAAGAGTATATCCTTAAGAGTCAGTCCACAAATGAACCTCTATTAAAGCTTTAACAATGATGAACTGGCAAAAGCTTGCTATATGTCATTTTTTTTTTTTTTTTTGGCTGGGGCTGGGTTTGAACCTGCCACCTCCCATATATGGGGCCGGTGCCCTACTCCTTTGAGCTACAGGCACTGCCCTGCTATATATCTTCTATTGTCCAAAAACTTTAGTGTTACATCATGTTGAACAAACTCTAAAAACAAAAAATTAAAACTGCTATCTGAAATATTATTGATATGTTATAATTCAAATTTTAGACTTCTTACCATGTTTATCTCTTGCCCATTACTAAAAGTTACTCACCTCATAGATAAAGGTGATTAAATGCTCCATTCAGGTATTCATCTTAGCAGAAACACCATTTGGCAATCACTGTTACTAAATGAGAAAGCCAAGGTTTCATTCTCCTTGAGTAAATAGTAGGAAAATATAAGCTATCTTAAAAATATCTACATACCTGCCTTTAAAACACGTCCTTATACATTTTACAAAATAATATTTTGATACCTCTCCAACTCTTCAAACTTTAGTTGCTCTATTATTGCTCTTAGCCCATTACAAAAACTTGTTTATGTGTCCGTCTCCCACACTGAGCAGCCAAGGGCCACGTCTTCATCAGCTTTGCATTCTTTATGCTTAACACATGTCCTGGCCCATGGTAGGCGCCCCAGACTTAACAACTGTTTAACAAATAGTAAATACTTCTGGGTTGAAACAATCTTTCACTTGGATAGTGTTTGATAAAAAAGTTCCATATACATTTAATTCTATAATCTTTTTTTTTTTTTTTTGAGACAGAGCCTCAAGCTGTCCCCCTGGGCAGAGTGCTGTGGCATTACAGCTCACAGCAACCTCCAACTCCTGGGCTCAAGCGAGTTTCCTGCCTCCGCCTCCCAAGTAGCTGGGACCACAGGCGCCCGCCACAACACCCGGCTATTTTTTGGTTGCAGCCATCATTGTTGTTTGGCAGGTCCGGGCTGGGGATT